AAGCCACCAGAGACACAGATTCTTCCCATGGGGCTATTTCTGCTTTCCATTTATTGAGACTACCAGGTCATATCACTTGTTTTCGATTAACCCAGAGCTATTTAAAGCTGCTATTAGGCCATTAACTGCTTTACTAGATGCCTGCTCTCCCAAGTCACCCTCCTCTTCACTTCAGCCTGGCCACCCCACTACCTTTCTCTCCTCCTATATGCTCTTCTGTCCCTCCTGACTCTCTAAACCCCCTGAACTTTCCTCTGTCCCTCATCCTTTCCTAGTAGTACTTCTTTTCCTTCCTCCCTCCCTCCCTCCCTACCTCCCTCCTTTCTTTCTTTCCTTCCTTTCTTTTCCATTTCCTTCCTTCTTCCCTCTCATTCTCTCTCTTTCTCCCTTATAAACCATATTCTCTGCACCTTCTAGAGCCATGGTTGGAAATATTAGATTGTCTCTTGGACTCTACAATAGAATGTCTGGCTGAAAATCACTCTGTGAGAGCCAGGAAAGCCAAAACAGACTTTCAGATTTGTGTATTCATTCAACAAATATTTATTGAGCAACTACTTGTGTGCCAGGCCCCTGAGATTAAAACTATTGGTAATCTATAAGCAGAGAAAGAGATAATTTTACCCATCCAACATATAAGCTTAATTGAATATTAGGGAATGGACTAGAAGACCTTGTTTCATTCCCCAGACCTATGTTGATAATCACTGATTATTGCTACCAAAAAGTGCAGCCAGAGACTTTTTGCAAATATTGCGAACATCCTAATGGCCATACTGGTTTGCCTTGGAATGTCACTAGGATTGTATGGTAATTAGTTTCCTTTTTCCAGCCAACGGCCCCTTCAGCATTGCAGTATCTGGCCCGTTCAAATTCTCTCTGAGCAACCAGTTTCTAAATAATTGTAATCAATCGTTTCCTATGGGCAAACCCTTCTCAATAATGAGCTCATCATACTATCAGGTGAAAATACAGCAGCACGATTAATACTTGGGCATGAAAACAAATCACTGTTTTCTGAATAATGAGCCCTGAGTCCTGTTTGAAAGCTGAATATGCAGTGCAAGATCAAAATTTAATTCTTTTCATGAGAACTGAGAGATTTTACTTCAAACCAACTACACTTCATTAAAACTACGATGAGAGACTACAAAGCAGCATAGAAATATTGCAGCTGTGGGCTCAATAAGAGGAAAGAATCCTTATGTTGTTCAAGTGTGACACAGTGAGTTTGCCGTGGTGTCCCTCCATCCCAGAGATATTCGGATTCAATGCATTGGTTCTCCTCCCTTACCACCCGGGTTCACTTCATGGTGAAAGGGAGGCAGCAACCAAGGCTACCAATTCCTTCACTTGCTGTAGACTGTGCAGGAATTGAGCAGCCCAAGTTGGGGGGCGAGGGAGGCAGAAGAATAAAGAGGGTAAACTCCCTGTGAATAAGAGTCTGGTACCAGGACCGACAGCAATCTGGTCAGGTCATGTCCAGCCAAGCTATGGAGAAGGGGAAGGTGGATGGAGACTCACCAGGCCTCCATGGAGGTGGAGGTGGAGGCAGTGACCAACCTTTGTGACTGCATTAGTGACTCTGCCCCTGGAGTAGAGATTAGCGGTTCAAAGCTGCTCAAAGAACATCTTCTTCAGGAAGCCTTTTGTAACTCCTCAGACTGTTAGATGGCTTGTCTGTCTCCTGAGGTATTTTGTACACACTACTTTACATTTCTTACCACTTTCTGAAATTGTCTACTTTTTCACAGTGGTTGACACCATGGTCTTTGGAGAAAGGCAGTATGGCTTTGTCACTAATTAGCCATGTGACCTTGGGCAAGTCACTTAACCTCTCTGAGCCTCATTTTCCTCACTAATAATATTTAATAGGGTTGATGTGGAGATTAAATGAGTTAGTAAAGGGCCTGGCATATACTAATCATTATTACCATTGTCATCAATATATCATCTTTCCCATTTGATCAACATTATCTTTCCCACCTCTCAAGTGCAGGGTTCAGTTATTTATCCTCATTTATTAAGATCTCAGCACATAGATGTTCTCAATAAATTTAATTGATTTCGTATCAGCAGCTGCTAGATCATGGGAAGAGACTAATGTGCCTCTCTTGGGAAGATGATTACCCTAGAGAAAGCTAAGAGTCAAGAGTGATACAAAGGTAGCCACTCTTCTACATCTTCACAGTGGGCAGTGAGAAGTGATAGGAAGGGCCTTTACTATGACGGTTTAGGGTAGGAAAGATTTCTTAATTAAGAAGATGGTATGATGAATCCAGAGAATCTTCGACCAGATACAAGCTTCCAGCCACACCTCAGATGTGTCCATTTAGGAGGGTTTGACTACTCAGGCATGCCCACCAGGAAAAGCTCCCTGGTAAAGAGCTCAGAACAGTGTGTGTAGAAAATGTAGCTGTGAGTTACCTTTTTGCCCTTCTCCATCTGCACTGCCTTTAGTGGGCCTCCAGGGGCAGTGGGGGTTCTCTGGTTCCCTTGGCATCCCACACTGTGCCCATGTGTGGTGTGCATTCATGTGGGGTTCCCTCTTAGTGAGACTATCAGAAACTAAAGGGCACCTCTGAAGGAGGAGTCCTCTGTACAAACTGCCAAATGTGTTTGGGTCTGGGATGTACAGTTGTGGTCATGTCTCAGCACAACAATCTGGATAACTTCTCAGGCTCCTGTTCAGCCCTTTGAATGCAGGAAATAATTGGAGTGTGTGTGGGAGCAGTGTTTATGTGTATGATGAGAGAGAGAAAGGAGAAGGTAAGAAGAGAAGAGAAACTCATGGGATCTCAAATCAAATTGATTCCACAATAATGTTGCCCTTCTTAAAATTAGCATAGCCAGTGAAATGAAGAGGTGGCTGGTGACTTGGAAATATTTCAGACAGCGGCATTTCTACCAGTTCATCAAAGATGTCATTAAGCCAGAGAAGGGCTACAATGTGGTGATTTAAATCCTGCTTTCAGCAGCCTTTCTCAAGGAGTGAGACTGGCTCGCCTCTGGGACAGTGGTCATCAAAATTAAAGGGGGAGATATTCATGTGACATGGTAGCAAAAAACAGCTCAGGAAAAAGCCTCATTACTGAGCAAGGAATAGAAGGGGAAATGCCTAATGGAAGTTTGGACATCTGGGCTCTAGTCCAAAATCTGCCACTTACTAATATGTGACCTTGGGCAAGTCACTTCATTTCTTTGGACCTCAGTTTTTGTATCTGGCAGATCTCCAGCTCTGATATTTTAACTTATTAAAGTACAGAAGTACATCCAAATGAAGTATCAAATACGGCATAGCTATACTCTTTCCCTATTTTTGCACATTGGGATTGTGTTAGTCCATGTTTATCAGTGTTTAGACAAATATTTGAATGGGTTGTATATCAATTCTCTTGCAAAAGTTTCCTGCAATGAAAATTGCTCTATCATTTAAACAAATGGACAGATCCCCAGATCATGGCATCTGATTCAATAGATGATTTCTACAATTAATTCTTTCATCTAGTTATTTAATAATCATGCTTAATACCAACTGTGTGCCCGGTGCTATTCAGAGGAAGATGGCAACAAGATCACTGCACTTAAAAAACCACTACAAAATGAAAGCCTAATAAAACAATATTGGCAGCGTCTTGGAATCTGTCCCAGAATCTGCCCTACACATTCATGTTGAAGTGAGCATTTACATGAGTATTTCAGCTGAAAGCAGCTAGCCCAGGGTGTGCCTACCTGCAGCATCATATAAAATGCTTTCTTCAATACTGTGTCAACCAGGTTTGTATTGATTGACTTGAATCATGGCTGGCATAAAATTCCATTTCCTTTGTCCAGGAGACAATGGAAATGTAAAGGGGACGTGTGTGTGTAAAAAATGTTTTCTCTGTTCTCCTTTCTTAAGGATTTGAGGAGACCTAAGGGTTAGGCCAGAGCAGGGTCAGATATGATTGGAGAAATTAAGGCAGCAGCTCCTTAGCTCTTGGCAGTCCTCGTTTGCGACAGTCCTCAGGAACCTTCTGGATAAAGAATTTGTACTGAGTCTTCTGGCAGACTGGAGGAGATTTGAGGGGAAAAGATGTATCAAATACTAAATCGCAAGAGCTGTACAATCCCTGGGAGAAAATGTATCCTTAGGGGACAGAAAATTCTGGCTCAAGCTGGGCTTAGCAATAGGATTGAAGGATCAAAAGGAGTAATGACCCTTGGTTCAGCATGAAGGCTGTTATTTGAACCCACCCTGGCCCAATCATCTTGGTGTTGTATGGCAACCCTAGATAGAAGAATAAATAAAAGTGGCGAAGCTGTGTCACCAGCTCTATAATACCGTGCAGCCCACATGACTCCGCTGCCAGACAAGACTTCTCCCCCAAGAGAGCATACTACAAGGTAGAACACCCTTTCCTTTCTTTGTAGCAGTTTGCCAGGTGACTGAGGCACTTGGCAAGGCTCTGCCCCTAAAGCATCAGCAGTAGCTGGGTATCAGCCTGGAGGGGCAGAGGCTGGCAGTGTTGGCAACAGGATGCATACAGAGGCACTGTCACAATGAGCTCAGGCCCAGAAAGAATCTCAAATACATTTAAGACACCTCCCAAGACTCCCAAGAATACCTATGGGGTGAGGGGCTGTGGAGAGGGAGTAATACAGATGGAGTCCTATGAGCCTGTAAAACTCCATATTAGGGACCAAACTGAGGCTGCATGTGGTGGCTCACACCTGTAATCCTAGCACTTTGGGAGGCTGAGGCAGGAAGATCGCTTGAGGCTGGGAGTTAAAGACCACCTGAATAAGAGTGACACGCTGTCTCTACAAAAAATAGAAAAATTAGCCGGGCATGGTGGCACACACCTGTAGTCCCAGCTCTCGTGAGACTGAGGCAGAGGATTGCTCGAGCCCAGGAGTTTGAGGTTGTAGTGAGTTATGATGATGCCACTGCACTCTAGCTGGGTGACAGACAGAGATTCTGTCTCAAAAAAAAAAAAAAGGACCAAATTTTGTCATTATTTCCTATAGCCTAGAGACAGTTGGGTCACACTTCTGTGGAAATGTGCCTTGGAGAGATATATCCAATACTTATGTTTCACTTCAGATATTCTTAGCTTCACTTGTCTTGTTCCAATTGCTGTAACAATTACCAGCTCTGCCTGGATTTGAACAGTCAGGGTAACAGATGGCTGATCCTATGAATATGAGTCAATGTCTCTTGTCGGCCACCTCAGTGTTTGCACAGCGATCCCATAAACAGAGTGACCAAGGTAGCAAGGCTGGCGCCTACGCACGGGCCCCAAACTATGGTGTCCCTCTTATCAGAGCTGTTCTAACTACTGTCACAGCTAGAAGAGGAAACTAATCTTGGTTCCTTGATACGACATCATTCTTTAATGAGAGCTTCACGGTAGAGAAGTTATGTTGGACCCCTGCTACCCTAATGGGGCAGTAATTTATCTTTACTGGAATGATACCTACTCTGCATAGGGGTGGTTTTTTTCCTTCCCCACACTGCCTCCACCAGCATAATCATCTGGCCTTTCACAATGCCTGACAAATAGAGGTGTGGTAACCCTCACAGCATTACCTATGACCAGGAGACCCATTTTACAGCAACAGCATGAGAAGTGTGACAGTAACTACAGACACACAGTAACTACAGACAGTAACTGTAGGATCTACCTTGGACATCACCACTCAGAAGCAGCCAGTCTAACAGAATGGTGGAATGGGCTGTTAAAGGCTCAGCTAAGACACCAGCTCAGGGAACATTCTCAGCAAAGTTGGAGCACTCTCCTTTGGGCATGCAGTTTGTGTGTTGAGCTAACAAATATATGGACCCAGTAGTTAGAATACATAGGTCTGGGAAATAGGCGTGGCCTTGCTCATCATTATCCCAATGACCTTCTTGTGGGGTTTGTGTTTGCCATTCTGACAAACTTAGAATTTTCCAGGTTTAGAGGCCCAAGTCAGAAAGGTTTCTAACTGAATTTGAAGCTGTAACTGCTACCAGCTCACTTTTGGCTTCTCATGCTGGAGGATCAGCAAGCAAAGAAAGTTACCGTGCTGAACACCTTGAGCAGCTATGACTGCACTGCACAACGTGAACAGGAGAGAGTATGTCTGCAATCCACAGCATTCACAAGGATGTGTTCTGGTGCATCCAGAGAAAACAGGTAATTGTAGCAATCACAGATGGAGGGCAAAGCAACACAGACCTCAGGCCCCTTGGTGATATATATCTTCATCATACCACTTGGCAAGCAATGAGGATCAGTGACAAAGTGCTGGCCAAGGGTGACAGAAATCTAAAATGAGACGTAGAAGACAGGGATGGTAAATGTCAAGTATGGCCTTAGGACCAGCTGCAGCTGTGGGACTGCATCTTATTTCCCTAATCCTCTTGCCCTGGATCTTTTTGGAAATTCATCTGCCAACCATCTTGAGGGAGGCTCTGTGACTGATTAGACTCACACCACCCCTTTCAAAGGGAAAATGAGGGCATCTTGTTCACAGAAAAATAGGGGCTCCAGAGTGTACCAAGTGAGCCAGATGATGGAGGGCACAGGCGGACTGTGTGGTGTGAGGCGTGGGCTTCCTTAGACTGTCCTTGTTCACCACTTTAGATCTCTCAGCTTCACTTGTCTGTTGTTCCAGCTGTCACTGCAGCAAGCAGCTTCCTGAAGGCACAACCAGACAGCACTTCACCTCACCCCTACCCTGTACGGTCTCTCACCTGTTCCTCTAGGGCTTCTCTGTTTGATACTGAGATGTAGAAATTCACAGCAACCCTCACTTATGGACAAGGAAGCAGGGAATACATTTTTCCCTTTTTCTCACCTAGAGGAACATTCCTGTGACATTGTTTACATGGCCTCACTGAAGATAATCCTGTGATATCAAACAATGAGTTGTGCTTAGTGGTAGTCACCTCATACTTCTTTGGACCTGGATTGGTTTTATCTCTTTTTCTGTCTCACTTGCCTTGTCTTTCCCTCCTGGTCTCTAATGTACACTCTCTAACAAAATAATGGCACATAAACCCTGCCTCAGACAGACTCTGCTTTCTGAAGAAACCAGCTAAGAAAAGAGTATCTCTGAAGAAAGAAAAACAGAGAAATGTATAAAAAATGAAAATATTCCCCTCCATAAAGGGAAAATAAGTAAAAGTTTCAACCTAACTGTAGATGAGCAGCACGTGGTACTCACTGTCCCCTGGGGAGATAAGATTGGAGCTTGAGTCCTCAGTATCAAGTAGCAAGAGCCCCAGAAGGGCAGTTTAAAAGCCTTTTTAAATTGCCACAGGACACCTCCAATGGAGTCTCAGAAATTCTTTATACGGAATTCAAGAGCAGCAAACCCTATTATCAGGATTTGGGTTGGCCCAGGGTAACCTTGTAAAGAAAGGAGGTTGATCTTTAATGGCCCTGCATTAGTCTTTCAGCATCTCCCACTCCTCTCCCCTAAGACGTCAGTGATTCTGTTCTCTTTTCCCTCTCCTTCATTCCAGCCCTTTTAGCTACATGTTATGTGGAAGTGGTCTCTTACATTGATTTTCAGTTAGGTATTAATGACTAATGGAATTTAATCTAGTAGTTCTCCAAGAGCCCCAAGAGGTTTTTACACAATAACCCCTTAACTCAAAAGACCATGTTTCTAATAGTAGCATTTCTGGCATCAACAGTTGACTAGTAGAGATAGATTTGAGGGTTCCTTAAAATAAACCTCATTCACAATTACTACTTTTCACTTATGTCTAGGACTTAGTCCAAGCTGTTTTATTTCTATGTCCTTTCAGATAATGATCTTTAACTATTAGAAGAAAGGGCAAGACAAAAAAAAATCCCTGATTCAGTTTTTTCCCACCATATAATTATGAAAATTTTTTATAGTAAAGTTGAAAGTTAAAATAATTTTACATGAACACCATTACACCTATCACCTAGATTTTTTATTAACATTTTATTCTAGTTTCCTTATCATATGTCTACATATCTATCCATTACGTTGTCTACCCAATAATCCATCTTTTTTTATCCATTTCAAAGCAAACTGCAGGCATCAGCACTCTACTCTAAATATTATACTTCCCTGACTTGATTTTTCTCTTGAATTGTCTCCATGTCAGGACAAAGCAAAGAAGAATTGAGCAACTGCTGCTTAAAACTCACTCATTACTTTAGGAATCAAGACAAAGTGAAGTACATGGATGGAATTAATTCAGTCCCTCCTCCTATTGTTTCTCTAGCAAGGAGGTGACCAAAGCTATGAATGTTTCCTGGAAACTAAAGTCCTGACTTGTCATCTTCATTGTGAGAAAGAGCTTCAAACATATTAGTTCTTACGTAGTCATGTGCTATAGTAAAACCAGCTCTCAACTATTTTATTTTAAATACTTAAATCATTTTGCAGTATCTTTGTTTGTAGGTAAAAGTGTTTGAAGCTATAAAACATACCTTGAACTAAGTACAAAGTTTAAGTCAAACTAACACAAGTTGTCTGATTACATTCCAGACCCACACAGATATTCTTTGTGAATAAAACAAGGTGCCCCATCTCAGTCCTTTCTAATTTGTGATTTCCCTGATAGGGCACCAGCCACTGGGGTCATGGCTTCTCCACCAAGTGTTCCTTGACAACTTCAGTCCTAGTGATCTCTCATGGCCACCTGGCATAACTCTACTTACTACCACAGTGTCTAGCACTTAATTGTTTAATTATTTCGCATATATTGTTTCTATCTTTCTCCTGGAATCTAAGTTCTTGGGGGATAGGAAGCCCATCTTCTGAATCTTCTACATTCAGTGATGGGGCTTGGCATACAGTACTAGGCCCACATCTAAGACTACAGATCTTAAAAGCTTCCTATTTTCTCATTTAAACTTAATGTATAGTAGACAGCTTGGCCTACTTGCTTCTAAAATACCGGTTCCGGGTACTCTTAAAGTGTTTCTCCTGGGATATATTATCATGGCAGTTAATATCAGCCAGAATACTTTTCCAACAAGTCCCCAGGCAGTCATCATGAACAGGGGCTTAGAGACAGGGCTTTTCTGTGTCAGAGCCAGAATTCAGAAATGCTCTGCTTTTCTTGGTTAAAGGAGACCCAGGATTTTTTTGTTCAACACTCGTTTGCACTGACCTCTTTTTCTGGTTTCTCAGTAAAAGGATTAAGGACTCAGGAAGCATGGGGGTGAAAACAGCTTGTTTAGCTGGAGAGAGGGCTTAGGCAAGTTTGATGCTGTGGGCTGGAAAAGCCATGAAGGAGCTTCCATTGCTGTTTCTGGCAGTTCATAAACCCAGGTCCTTGTCCAACCCTGAGTCATGTCCTAGCAATGTGCATGGTGGTATATCTATTATGCACATTGAGTTAAATTCTTGCCCCCAGGAAGCACGTCCCAGGAGTTAGCAGGACAAAGGGACTGAATTACTGGGGCAATTCATTAACCAACACCATGACCTAAATCATTTATGTCAGCATCCAGAAGGGTCCAGTCTCTTCTGATAATGTAACCCCTGGCAATGCGTTTATCCTTACATGTGAAACCTGGTAGGTTTTTAGGTAAATAATAAATACACTGATATACTTTAAAAATGAAAACAGATTCAGGCAGTAGATGAACATGCCTTTCTCTCTTCCAAACTTCTCTAAATAAACTTCCTTCTCATTCTAAATTTTATATGATAGAAAAGCCATCTACAAGTACACTGGAATTGAAAATAATTGCATTGCGGTCTGGTGATAGGTGACAACAACTGGGACTCACAGCTCATTCCTGACCTGAGCTGGGTTTAATTCCAAAGTAGGCTATGAAGTAATCCTCTTTTCAATATCCTTGTTTTTACTATAATTTTGCAGTAGTTTCCGTGAAGAACAGATTGACAGAAATCCTTGGGGGCTTATCATCAAAGATGGATACAAAGGCAGAAATGTAAGGCACCCAGCAAGAAGCCAATTGTCTACAGAAGAGTGAATCCCAGAGTTTCTACTTTTGTAATTCTTCCTTCCTCTGTCATTATAAAAGATCATTGTCTTCAACATTTTTCAGAGCAGTCTGCCCAGGAGTGATCTGGAAAACATACAAGTGAGGAAAACAAACTTTGCAAGAAGAAACAAGTGCACTGGGGAGCAGAGGTGGGATAGCTCTGCAGTCATCTTGTCAAAGAAGCACTTGGGATCTGTAGGGGCCACTCAGTCCTCCCCTCCACAGCCACACAAGTGGTGGCCTTGGATTCCCAGCAGGGCCCGTGTGCTACAGCACTTGGAGGTTGGAGAGACTCCTACAGCCGCCTCAGACCTGGCCTCTGGGTTGCCAGATTGGGACCCCTGCTGCCCATTAAGATATATCCAGCCCTATAGGAGCCAGGAAGGCCTGCTTCTTTTGCAGCTAGATCCTGCCCAGATGAAGTAGGATGAGGGGTTAATAACACACCCTTCTTCATTAAACCCTGATTCCTACACAAAAGGCTACCCCAGTCTATTCAAGAGAGTTCTCAGAGCAGGTTAAAGAAAGTCAGTCTCAGACTGTTGGGAGAAAGCATCTCATCTCTACCAGAGGAGGAAGCAGTACATGGTGAAGAAAGCCAACAGAGCGGCTGGAGCCCGAGATGGCAGGGCTTAAACTCTGGTTTAATGATGACAATATTGGATGTTAGCAGCTGGTAACAGAAAATCCACTATAAGAATATCCTTTTTCACTTAAGAAAATCTTGAGTTAGGCAGTCCCAGGATTGAGCTAGCATCTCCACAATGCAAGGACACTGAGTCAGACTATTTGCAGTTCTTTTGATCCTCCCCTCTTGGTCACAAAACCATTGCCATAACTCCAGGCATCCTGCCCTCACAAAGCCACTTCCAAAGGCAGGAAGCAGGAATGCTCATCACATGCCTGCCTTCTTTTATTAATTATAATAGTAACTAACAGTTTTTTTGTTTTGGGGTTTTTTGTTTTTTTTAGCATTTACCATATGTCACGTACTATCTAAGCCCTTTGTATGTATAAATTCACTTCATTCTACAGTGGACTAGGAAAGCAGAAAGAACTTTGGTTTGACTTTCTCAGCATTGCTCAGACAAGAAATGGTAGAGCTGGCACTTAAGCTCTGGCGGTTTGGCTTCAGAGCCCTTATGGTGCCAAACTACCTCTCCATTAGGGAAGAAGAGGTTTCCCAGAAGCCCCTCAGCAGACTCTACCTTCTGCTTCATTGGTTACACCTGGGTCACATGACCGCTCTGGCTGTGAGGGAGGCGGAGGATACAAGTAACTGCCTGTTTCAACCTCAAGGGAAAAAGCGGGCTGTGAAGGTCAGTTGAGTAGCCAACCAACAGCATCTACCACCCACCACTGTGACAAAAGAAACAATGGCCTTTGTTACTGGGGAAAGATCCTGGTGCCCTAAGGGCTTAGGTGAAAGTCTGAGGTCACTGGGCTATTTGGCTTACCACCATTGAGAGAAAAGCCAAGCTTCCGCTCAAAACCAGTCGGGAAATAGCAAAAATGCCAGCAGCCTCACAGCCTTATCTTCCATCCAGTCACTTTAGTATCTGTGCATAAGCAGTCCTTATTAAATTATTCATCCTGATTTAATGGGAAGGAAATCACATGCAACAGGTGTGATTCTTCCTGCTTGTTGAATGGCTTTAAAACAGGCTTTCAGACACTGGTTGCGGAAGGGAAAGCAGCAGGAGGACAAATCAACTGTATTTTAAGATAATTACCGAAATGCTACAATACGTGCCAGTGGTCATAGAAACTGAATAGAATTCTGGGAAGGAAAGAGGAATATTACATAGGCAATTTGCTTTACATACACTAAAAAAAAAAAAAAAAAAAAGCCTATCGGGTATGTGACACGGTTTACATTCCACGTGTTATTGTACCTGCTTATAAACCTGGGTAGAATCTCATTTTTATAAGCTTGAAGAGACTTCCAAATTGCTACATTAGATCCAAAGCTCATTAAACTTGAAGCCTATTGCTATAATATACTGAAATATTCTGTGTTATTTCCTGGATTTAAAATTTACTCGCACAAAGCAAATGTTAGGTGTACAATTCATTTGCAAATGACATGTGAGGAGAGGGAGGAAGAGATGGGTACACAAAGGATGTGCTTGGCTTGTTCCAACACATTAGAGCCAGGTATGGTAAATGATGCTACATCCTTTTGCAAAGACTGTATTTGAATGCAACACAGTATCTTAATAAAATATGACATGTTTTTCAAATGTTGGGTGGTTATGTTTTGCAATTTTATAAACTGCGTGGCTGTTTGATTTTGCCCCAATTTTTCTTTCTTTCTTTCTTTCTTTCTTTCTTTCTTTCTTTCTTTCTTTCTTTCTTTCTTTCTTTCTTTCTTTCTTTCTTTCTTTCTTTTTTTGGTTGAAAGCTCATTGTATTAGTACTAACAGCTAAAAAATGCTATAAAATGAGCAGGATTTTGAGTTGCCATTATCTATGCAGAGAATAATTAAAGGTACACTGAAGACAGGCTGAAATTGAAAGAGTGAGAGCTTACAAAGCAAACTTACCTACCGTGTTTCCCCGAAAATAAGACCTACCCATAAAATAAGCCCTAGCAGGATTTCTAAGCATTTGCACAATATAAGCCCTACCCCGAAAATAAGACCTAGTGATGGGCAGGTTATGCAGCGGATCTGCACAACCCATTCATTTCGTTGCGGAGCAGTATAGAAGATGAGCAGCCCTTTTCATCTGCCCCATCATGACAGCTACTATCCCAGAGGTGACCGGAAAAGTGCAGGCAGCCCCACCAACAAGGTCGGCTCCCCCTGTCAGGTCTCGGCCATCCTGTGTGTGCTACAAGCTGAGGGTTTAAGGGGAAAATAACACATCTCCTGAAAATAAGCCCTAGGGTATCTTCTTGAGGAAAAATAAACATAAGACCTTGTCTTATTTTCCGGGAAACACGGTAGCTCTGTTTTCTCTCCCTAGCCCTGGAGAACTGTCACTTCCACTGTCCCTAATATTCCTGAGCCTCAGTTTTCTTATCTATAAAATAGGGAACTGGACTCTGTGATCTCTGAAGCCTGTAATCTCTAGGGCCTTTGAAGTTCTGAAGTTCTAAAGTTCAATGATTCTACATACCCTGCATCAGGATTTAACAAAATCTTCAAATTTTGTAAGTATCACTAAGTCGCAAACCGACATGCTTTTCCATATATTGCTAAGCATATTAACAAAGATAAAACACTAAATGAAAAGGAAAATATCTTCATTCAAAAGATGGACAATTAAAAGGATAAATGCTTTGTGTGACTGGTATTTTTTTTCTCCACAATTTCCTGTATCCACACTGACAAATAATGCTAATATGTGAAACTCTTTCAAGGCATGGAAAGAAATAGCCTGTTCAGTTGGATGTTAAAATGGCATTTTCCCTACATTATGCTTTATGAATGGAAGGTTAATGAAATTGTTTGTGTCTCAGTTTTCACTCTGCAGGTTATTTTGTAATAGGGATGAGACTGTCCTACCTTTAATTTGGTATTTTATTAAATTAAATGCAATTCAAAGGAAGGACCATTTTATTCTGCTATTCTATCTTATATTCTCTAGCAAGATGGCACACTAAGTGCTTTCTCTTGTTGCTTCTTTTAAGAGTTTCCTGTTTCCAGGGAATTTGATATGAGAGAAAATGATGAATTTCTTTGAATCAAAGGTCCTTAAACTGAGGCAGGAGCTTTCTTTTGGATTCCTATGGTTTGCTCTAGAAAAGGGAAGGAAGGAAGGAAGGAAGGAAGGAAGGAAGGAAGGAAGGAAGGAAGGAAGGAAGGAAGGAAGGAAGGAAGGAAGGAAGTTAGTTAAGCATAGCTGTTGCCTCAGAAGTTTTCACCTGGGGGCTTAATGTATACCTTAACTCAAGGAAGGAAGGAAGGAAGGAAGGGAGGAAGGGAGGAAGGGAGGAAGGAAGGAAGGAAGGAAGTTAAGCATAGCTGTTGTCTCAGTAGTTTTCACCTGGGGGCTTAATGTATACCTTAACTCAATGGTTCTCAACTAGGAGATTATTTTCATTCAGTGTGACAGTATTGGGTCTGTATGACTGTCCCCTGCATTGCAAGCATCCTTGGCTCCCACCCACTAAATGCCCCAGAAGCACTCCCTAATCACTATGACAACCATACTAGCCCACACACATTTTCACATGCCAACTTCTCTGAAAGAGTCCAAACTGGTAGTGTCCCTCTGGAGAAAGGAGGGTTGGTAATAAGAGGTTAGTTTTCAAAAGCCCAAAGAGGATCTGTATGTGGAAAATGTACCTTCAAACACTCCAGCCTACATTTCGAGTTAACATGCCTTGACAATGTCATTGCTTCCTACATGATGACATATATTATCAGAAAAATCATAAGATGTTTGAGAATCACATGGCTTATAAAAAATCATGCACTTTTCCTAGACCTTGAGAATTAAACCTTTCATCATGTTACTTTTTAGAAAATGTAGACTTGTTTCTCTTTCATACTGTATAGCAGGGGTCCTCTAACTTTTTAAACAGGGGTCCAGTTCACTGTCCCTCTGACTGTTGGAGGGCCATTGGAGAGTGTGGCATACATTCCACACATGTGCACTGTGGGCCTAGGATGAGTCAGCTGCTAAGCAGGACAGGCAGTGGTGGCAAAAACACCAGGCGGGCCGGATGAATGTCCTCAGCGGGCTGCATGTGAATGAGGATGCCTGCTGTATAGAATAGATTAAGTGTGGTTCACGATAAAATGAGTCCTCAGAAGTAAAGATCCTGCATAGTAAACACACACAGGAGAATGAGTAGATTTTGTTTTCATGTTCTAGATTCCTCTGTGGTGTCAGGGTTTTGAATTCCAATAAAAGTCAACATACAGGCATGGGGTGCTAAATGAGACAGATGCTCTCTTGGGCCCTGACAATGTAAAAGATGTATATGTCCTCTGCCTTTGAGGCCCACAGCTGTGCCTGAGAGACTGACTCTTAGATTACTAGGACATAAAATGATAAAAAGAAACACCAAGAAAGTATGTTTATATGATATGGGAAGTTGGTAAAGGGACAGGTGATTTCACCCAGGAATAGGAGAGTGGTGGGGGCTGGGGGAAGAGGCAGAGACTGACAGATCCAGGGAAAGCTTCTGAGAAAAGGTATCAATTGAGTTGGGCCTTGAAGAATAAATGGACGTTTACCAGGCGGTGATGGGTAGGGATTGGCATTCCAACCAGAGAACAGCATATGTGTGTGAAAGAGGATGGTGACAATCCAGTGTGGTGGGACACTGCTGGAAGGGTGGTAGAGAAATAGGTGGAAATCACTTAAGGCAGCAGCAGGCTAAGAAGTCTGGGTTTTATCTCATAGGTAGAAGGGAACCAATTTAGATTTTTAATCAAGAAAGTAAAATAATCAAATGTATATGGGGACAAGAACTCTTATGGAAGTATAGAGAATGTGTAGATGCAGACAAACTTTAGCCAGGGATAGCAGTTAAGTGACAACGACCATGATACTTCACTTTTAAGCCTTCTTTCATAAGAAGATTTAGGAAACCAAGCGAATCTATAGCAAATTGAAGGCAGATAATCAATTTGAAGATTTTCACCAGTGAAATTTTTAAAGATTTACCCTATTACTTACATCCTGAGTTCCAGCTGCAACCACTGTTCCCTCTGAAAAGGACACAGGAAGCATTTTCTTACACCAGGTCACCATGTTTGTATGCTGTATCCCCACTACCATCGGCACAGTTGATTGAGTCAGAGGTTCACACTGGGCAGAAAAGCAGCCAGGGAAATCCTGGATGGACTGGCTTTGGGTTCTGGCCAATGATGCAGGCCCTTTATTGGATAAAGTCTATCTAGCAGTCAGATCTTTTCAAGGTGTCTGAGCATAAGACATAAACAGAGACTCACAGAAAACACAATGGTAAAGAAACCAAGATACACATAGAGAAAAACTCTTTATGCCATAAGAAGAAACCAGGAGGTGCTGAGAAGCAGAGAGGCCAGGCAGAACTAGCAGAAGAGCAAGATGCTGAGCCAGCAGGGAGCTGAGCCCTGTGGGGTGGGGGGCAGCCAATGTGACACCCCTCCTGGCAGGTGCTCCTGAGTGCTCAGGACTATTGTCCCACAATTAGAGCCCTTGGGGGATCCATGTGACTAGTTTGTGGCAGTGAAACACGAGCTTTGGTTTTGAGCATCCCCTGTGCGCCGAGAAAGCTTCTCCGTAACTTCCTTTTCTGCCAGGTGCGTGCCGATGACCACAAGGCTCCAGGGAACAGCAGAACCACATTGTGGAAAAAGCCCATGTCCCTGAGTCATAGCTTGGAGGAAGACTGCCAAGCAGGAGCACCTGTATTATATTATTACTTGAGCAAGAAATAAACTGAGATTTGGGGGTCTATTTGTTTCCACAGTCTAATACAGCCGAACTACCTGCCTTTCTTGCCTTGGGGGCTAAGAGTGGTACAACAGGCTTAAAACTCCATCCTCTGGTGCTCTGGTAGATTACCCAATGAGTCGCTGAAAGACTGTGGAAACTATCTCAGATTGCACTGTTTTCCCACACCAAGAGTAGCTCTCTCTTTTTATTCCACATAACAGAAAAACCAGAAGGTGTCATAAACACAGAGTGTGTTTGTAAACACATTGTTCTCACGCCTTTCCCAAATCCTTGAAAACTCAGGAGGAAAAAAATGTCAGAGCATTGAGCCTAGTAGCACCTCTCATCTGTTAGAAGCCCCATTCCAGTCCAACTTATATTTAGATGCTATTTCCTATTTTATACCCCTGCCTGCCGAATCGCAGCACCTTTGGTGTGAAACACAGCACCTGTTTAATGGGCCCACGA